TCTGGCCTCTCCAATGGCTTTCCCATTCACAGAGAAGTGGGCACCAGACTTGCAGGCAGAGCAAGCCAGGGGTGCATTAGCAGGTGAGGGGTCCATGCCAGTGACTGACCTGCGCTACCAGCCAGGGACTTTCCTGCTGGACACAACGGTGACCACAGCCAGGGATCAGGAAGGCTGAGACTCAGCAGGCCAGGCCAGGCCAGGAGGGTGAGTCACGGTCCAGCTGCGAGAGCTCTGAAAGGTCATCACTCCCTTTCCCCAGCTTCCTGGTGGGGCATGTGGTCAGCCCAGCGACGAGTGCCCCACAGTCCAGAGCCCAGGTCAGTGCAGCCGGAAATGGGCCTTCTCAACATGAGAAGAAAGTGATGCACAGTGGGGAGGAGACGGTGCTGGCTGGGCACTCAACTCTAAGATGAACACTTCCACCCGGAAATGGGGTTTTGGCCTCTTGGGCTGGGAAAATCCTGGCCGGCAGTGTCTGTATATCACGGAAGCTGAGTCAGCCTGACCCTATCTCCTAAAAAGCTCTGCTGTTTTTAGAACTCCACCGGACAAAGCCAGCCCAGGCCGCCTTCCATTCCTCTGGGGAATTCCTTTGGGGGAGGGAATAAAGGGGAGAGACCGGCCTTTTCCAGGAGACTGAAACCAGAAATCTGAGTTTTTGCCCATTTATGGACTTGAAGCCCCTCCCCACCCTAAGATGACTCATTCTCCCAGCATGACCTAACAGCCCCGGAGAGGGGATAGGGTGAAATGGAGAAGGTGGGATTAGCTGTGGGAGAGGGTTGGAGGCTGGAGAGAGGGAAGGGAAGAGCCAACTGATAAGCATGGGGAATTCCTTTTCGAAGCAGCAATGAGGGGGGGATTTTAGGGCCGAAAAAGGTAGAATGGGGGGATGGGAGGGGAGAGAAAAGAGAAGGAGAAAGAGAAAGAGAGACAGAATGAGAAACCTGTATCCCAAAGAGAAGCTGCCTGCCAGGTGGTGTGAAATTCCTCTAAAGGCAGCAGCCTTAGATGCAGATAAAAGTTAAAGGCCCTCACCTAGAGTAAGTCCTCAAACTTCAGTGTGATCAGAGCCACTTGCCAGGCTTGTTAAAATGCAGATTCCCAGGCCCTAGGTGATCTGTGCTCAAGCTCCCCAGTGATCTGAAGCAGGAAGTTAAGAAACAGAAAGAAGCTTGGGAAGGAATTGGCATGCTGGCTCATCCTCTGGGGGCCTCAGTTGTGCGAGGCCTCTCCCACCCACTCTGCCAAGGTCAGAGGCACAGCTCGAGACCAAGTGTGACATTTCTTATATCCTGATAAAAATCTGTGAAAGGCTTTTCAGATGTTCACTCATGGAGTTTCAGAGCTGGAAGGTCTTGAGAAGCCTTTTAGTACATACAGCCCCCTCACTGTACAGATGGGGAAACTGAGTCTCAGGAAGTTTCAACGATATGAAGAACAATTTCCCCCAATCTCTCCCTTCCCTAAGAGAAAGCTCCTTGGACTTCTTCAGGAGGAGAGAGCCAATCCAAGCCAGGCAAATCTGCCTCCCCAGTTTAGCACCACCCACCTCCACCACTGTCAATCTTTAGTAAGCAACTGATCAGCGAAGGACATAACTGCTTCCCCATTCAATTATGTCCTAGACTCTACAACTCAGAAACTTCCGAGGTCATCTAGCCCGACTTTCCACCCAAAGCAGAAATTCCTTCCAGCTACAACAACTCAGTCTCTATCTCCAACTCATCTCTTCCCCAAGTTGCAGCTCCTTACGCAGTTTTATCTCCACTTGAGGCCTAAGTACTCCCAGTTTCCACTCTACATGCAACCTTTCCCCTTCTCAGCTAATGGACACTATCCTTCAAGTCCTTCAGGCCATAAATCATGGAGTTGACCTCTCCCCAGCTCTTCCCAACAAGTGGCTGGAGGAATTTCTTTTAAAAATCAGAAGTCAGATCATGCCACTCCCCTTGCTCAAAACTGGCTCTCCATTTTGCTCAGAACGAAAGCCATCGCTTGTGTAATGGCTCACAGGCCCACTGTGACCTCTTCCCCACCCCTCACCTCTCTTGACCCTATCTCTGCTCCTCTCTCCTTCACTCACTCTCTCCGGCCTCACTGGCTATTCTAGAACTTGCTTGACCTGCTCCTACCTGAAGGCCTTTGTATTGGTTGTTTCCTCCATGGGAACACTGTTCCCCCAAATATATAAATGGTTCACTCCTTCCCCTCCTTCCGGTCTTTGCACAAATACCACAGTCTCAGTGAGTCCTTCTCTGATCACCCTTATTTAAAATTGTATTCCCTGTCTCCTCCATCCCACACCCCATCCCCATTCTCCAAATACTTATGACCTGTTGATACACTATCTAATTTACTTACTATACCTAGTGCTTTGTCTGTCTTCCTCCACTAGACTGGAAGCCCCATGAGGGTGGACACTTTCGTCAGTTTTGTTCACGAATGTATCCCCTGGGCCTAGAACAGTGTATACTGTAGGCGCTCCTTTTGAAGGAATGAATAAACACATTATGTAGGTGACTGTCTTACAGACTGAATTCTGGGTCTCAGTAGCCCCCTGTTGATCTTGGTCCTCCTATCTGAGCCATGAACCTGCAAGTCGATTCCCTTTTTCAGAAGACCACCCCTGTCATCTATTATCTAACCCCGCCCCAATCTCCTCTTCAGCTTGAAAATGCCTAGGCTCTTCCGCTAATTCTTGTCCTGGGTCCAGCTGGGTCTTTGGTCCTCAAGACATGCTCCAGCTGCCAGCCAGTCTTCAGATTCTGGCTGGCAGAGCTGACCCAGAAGCTCTAGTGGGGTGTGGGCACTGTGCCTTGCAGGGGCCTACTGCTCCCCACACATCCGAATTACTATTTTCCCTTCACTTGAGCCCACTACGAGGGCTTGAGGCAGCCTGGCTGGCTGGGGCCAGGAAGAAGTGAAGCAGCCATCCTGATGTGGGGACAGGCTAACATTCCATGGGGTTTCCCTCTCTTTACACAGAGGAGCCTCAGTTCAGCAAGGGGGCTTCCATTCAGGGACAGCTTGGATGGGCTTGCCCCAGGAAAGCGCTGAGGACCGGAGAGGGTTCTGACTAAGATGCTTCTTGTCTTGGTTTCCAAAGGCCCTTTCCTGTCTCCCAAAGTTGGCCCTGGTCTTTGTCTGGGTTATTCACATTCCAGAAGCGCTCATGTGGCACTAAATATTCCCAGGGCTCCAGCATTCTCCCCCAGGGCCCAGCGTCATCTCTCTGCCTTTGCTTCTGGAATGTTTTTGGTATGAAGTATCATAGCAGGTGAGGGGAAGGGTCATCTATGCACAGGGGATCCACAGCCAGGGTCTAGGTCTCTTTAGGGCTAGGGTAACATTCTCCTCCCACCCAGCAGGCTGCCCCTACGTGTCACCCCCTCTGCCTGCGAGCCTGCTCCAGCTCCTGGCTAAGATTTTAAGCAGACCACTAGGAGCACAGGAGATCTCAGGACTGAACACCTTTGAGTTCCCTCTCCTTCACTGAAATGACAGCTCCACCCCTGCAGCCATATTGCTGCTGGAAAAAGGCAGCCGTGACTGTGGCCTTCCCCCCACCCCCCACCACCACCCTCCATTTTCTTCTCCCCTCCCATCCAGTCTCAATTTCTTCTTCTGAAACCTAAGAATGATAAACGATAAAAATTGTACCAAATAAGGCTCTCATGAGCATTAAATGAGATAGCACACATACAAGTGCTTGATCCATAAACTTAATAAATGGTAGCCCCCGTTATTGTCTCTTAAGTTGCAATTCTTTTTCATCATCCAAATTCCCCTTCCACGTTATCTGAACTGACCATTTCTCTGCTGCATTTAACGTCTTTTTGTGCATGCTACCTTCCCCCCTGTCTGCAGCCTCCTTGAAGCTAAGATCTTCGGTATTGCACCAGAGACATAGCAATTACCTCTGTCTTCCACAGAGCATAGCATACAGTAGAGCTAGATTCTTCAGCTGAATGAATAAAGGAGCACAGCCGCCAACTCCACAGCTGAACTCTATGGTTCTTGAGGGTAAAGGACCCCCCCCCCTTTTATTTTCTCGGTGTCCACCCAGAGTCTAGCCCAGAGCTCCAATATTCAGTAGGACCTTGAAGATATCAGGCAGAAATATCCCAGCTGTAGCCTGAGCAATTTCTTGGCTCTCACATCTGGACCCCATGGGTGCCTGACACCCCACTTCTTCCCCAGACTCAGTGACTTTCCCAGCTCCCCAGGTGCAAGGAGAGGGAGGGAAGGTCCAGACGCTTCAGCCCGGAAGGGCAGGTGTGCTGAGAAGCTGGGAGCTGGAGCTGGCCAGGGCTGGGGATATTTGGAGGCCTGTGAACACCAACCAGGAGAAGGTAGGGTATGGGGAAGGTGCCTGCTTGAAGCCAGAGCCAGTGGCTGCTGGCTGCTTGCACTTTGTCCTTATTCTCCCTTACGTCCCAACCCTTGTAATGCCGGAGTTTCTCAAAGGAGCAGGCCTGCGGGTGGGGGATGCTCTGCTGGGGTTGAGAAGGAAGGCCTTCGAGGGGGGGCATTCCATGCATTCTTTACTTCACTAGGGGTCAGGCGGTGGGGGCGGAGGGAGCCGGGAGCCGCAGCCCAGCATTGAGGAAAGGCGATTTCTATGGAGAGAAAGAATAAAAGCTGTGGGAATGTCCTCAAGCAGCAGGGGACTGAGCTGGGTGGGGGAAGGGAGGAAGACGATGGTGAGAAAGGTGGGGGTGGGGGCTGTACAAATCGCCAAGACTACTTCTCTCTTTAGTGCCACAGGCAGGAAGTGAAAATCGGGACCCTCAGCCCAGGACTCTCCCATAAGTGTGCTGAATACGGCAGAACTGCTGTTGGGGGTATAAAGAGGAACCTTTTGAAACTGTGAGCTGGGTTTTTTGTTGTGTTTTGTTTTTATTAAGCAGGTTCTGTATTTCCCAGCCCAGTCGGTGTGTTAAGAGAAGGCTCAAAGAGACCTGTGTCTAAGGTCTTCAAACAATATCAGAGGCTATTTTCAATCACCGTTCTAGTTTTTAATGGAATGGTTATTCCTGGCCACAGAGAAGGGAAGAGGGACCACCAGGTAGACAAAATCAGGGCGTGGATGAGAAAGCCAGAGATCCTCTCTGGATAGTGCAACAGAACTTGTGGATTTATAAAAGGTCCCCCCTCCCGCATGATCAGTAGGGAATCATTGCAAAAATATCTCTCTGTACACAAAAGTTGGGTGTCATAGTGGACTTTCCAGAACATAGCATTCACATTATTGAAAACAGTAAGATTCACTTTTTAAAAAACACAGAGCTGAAAAACATAAATAGGACATTCTAGGGTCCTGAAGGCCCAGAGAAATAGACACGTCCATTCTCAGTAGCAGGAGCAGCTTGGAGGCTAGAGAAATTCAGAGTCTTTGAGGTCCAACGTGGAGGTCCCGGGGAATATGGGCCCCTTGAGATGAAGTCCAATAGCAGCCGGAGCCTTTTCAAGTCTTTTAGATTCATAGCAGCGACTCCAGGTTTGAAGGATGGGAAAGGAGAGAGAACCTTTGAGGGAAGAGGTTGTGTTCTCTTACTGCTGGGAGAAATAAGAGAGGGTACACTCTAGAATGTTTCCAGGATGACCCGGGCACATTAGGGAGTTCCATATTCCAGTTTTAGTGCCTGGTGGGGATGGGAATGTGTATCTGAGGAGTTTCCATCCCCACCTTGGCAGGAAGGCACCATGCACCGAACTTCCTCATTGCGATAAAGGAGGTGGGTAATGATGAGAGTGCTCTTTCCAGACTTCTGTGGCCCTACCACGTGTGCACGAAACAGAAACCTGGACTTGGCCATAGGCCTCCCTCTCTACTTCTCTACTCTTTCCCCCTCTACTGTCCTCTTGGTTAGAAAAGGCTGAAGACTGAACCCTCAATGCACTTCACTTGCCCATTTCCCACATCCAGCTCTCCCCAGGGCTTAACTGCAAACCGCCTCAGCCTTCTGGGCTGGAATGCTGGTCCTGGGAAGCTGGGGAGAAGGCAGTCTCCCCTGGGGGGGGGGGTTGCGAGGTACATCGTAAAGCCTGTCCAGGTGGGGCCATGCCCCCCACCCTCAGCTGAGCTTTGAGCAGATCCCTAGTGCCTGTCGGTAGACCTCTGTCACCTCCTGGCAGTCCGTGAGGGAAAAGCAGCTTTCCCCCAGGGAGTCCTGCCGCCAGCGCCTCAGTCCTCTGCTTCCAGGGCCCTCTGAGGAGGGCTCCTCCAGCCCCATGAGGTTGTCCACAGACACACAGCCCCGCAGCGGGGGTTCAGGGAGCCGTCCAGGCAAGTCCAGCTGGTCAAAGGACTCGGAGGACAGGATGCTGTCCTCACTCACAGCCCCCGAGGGGCGGCTGGCCCGGGATGGACGGCAAGGTGAGGCCAGTTCATTCAAGGAGCCGAAGGTGGTGGGGGCTGTGAGTTCCAGGGCTGTGCGGGAGAACTTGCCGTTGTGTTTGAGGATGCCCTTCCGACCGAGGAGCAGCCCTGAGGCCTGGGGGGGCTTTTGCTCCACGGAGACCTCGCTCGTAAACACGTCCCCTGCATCCAAGAGCTCCCCAGACTCGCTGGGTTCAGGGGAAGAGTAGTAGCCCGATTCCCGCTGCCGGGGTTTCTTGAGGATGCCCTTCTTGGGAAGCAGCAGGGCAGCCTGTCCTGCGCTCGCAGGGACCGGGCTGAGTTCAGCGTCCTCCCTTGCCCACTCTGAGGAGGCCGACACCTTCTTCTTGAGAATGCCCTTTGGTAGCTGGAGGTGGCTCTTGCCAAGCCGCGGGGAGGTGTCGTCAGCCGGGTTCCCCTGGAGAGACTGGGCCATGTCGTTCTCTTTGCGGGACTTCTTAAGGGAATGCTGGCGCTCTAGGCCAGGGGCCGTGATCCCACCTCCAGGCGCGTGCTGCTTGAAGAAGCTGCATACCTTGGCCCCGTTCTCCAGGAGAGGGCGGGAGGACCTCCGGAGCCAGTCAGCCATGGAGGCCCGGCCAGAGTCGCTGCCAGGGTGCCCTCCCTCGTGCAGAGCCTCCTGCTCCCCCACACACGTGGCATAGCCCCAGTTGACCCACCAGTGACTGGCCACGTCTTCCAAGGTGGCCCGGCGGGTGGGGTTCACCATTAACAGCCACCGGATCAGGCCACAGGCGTCTGGAAGACAAAAGGCAGGGGCGTCAGATTGGCAGCCGTGAGAACAGGCACATCCCCGTCTGTGCTCAGCTCCTGTTCGCTCCTGTGTCAGATGCGTCCACTCCCATCTAGAGCTCTACACACACCCCAGCGGGGCCAGCTTTCCTGGATGGATTCTGCCAAGTTCCTCTTCCATCCCACACCTCTCAGAACTGTGGTCTCTTTATCGGTCTTGTATGTTAGTGTGCCTCTTCCTTCTCCCTACTGAGGGGGTGGACTGTGCTCAAGGGGAAACCAAGGCTCTCACACCCTTTTCCTGCCTTCTACTTCCTAGGTGAAAGGACACAAAGATTTCTAAGGATGAGGACAAAAGCAGTAGGAAGTGAGACAACTGTAGTAAAGAGGCTCTAAGTTAGACCTTAGCAAGCACTTCCCAAATATAATAAAGCATGCCCATAAAGGAAGGAAGAGATAGCCCCTCCTTCCTCAGGAGTCACAGACACAGGAGGCAGAGAGATGACAGCAGAAGGTAAGCGGAGGGCACTCTCATGTACAGTGGGTTGTCCTCTTTACTCAACTGCCTCAGGAATCAGCTTAGGATACCCACAGCCTGGACGAGAACACTCACACCCCTCACTCACCAGAGGGTTTAGGCGGCTCCCGGTAGGCCCCACTGCTGATCTGTTTCACCAGCGTCTTATGGTCTTGCCCATCGAAGGGCATGGTGCCATGTACCAGGATGTATAGGAGAACACCCAGGGACCAGCTGTCTACCTGAGAGAGACAGGGGGTGCTGATCAGCAAGGATGCCCGCGTGCCACAGGCTGGAGGGCTTCCAGGCTCACTTCCACTCCAGAAAAGAAAGGGGTACATACTGGAGAACTCAGAGGCCAGTGCTTCTGAGGACCATCTCCCTCTAGTGCCCAGGGGACGTGGGGCGAGGCTGTAGGAGGCACTAAGGCTCACGGGGAGAGGTGTTGTCAATCGTCTCCCTGTGGATGGGGCAGCCACAAACACAACAGCAGTGGCGAGGTCATCCCTTCGGGGCCAGGAGTGGGCAGCTGGCTGGGTGCCGGGAAAGGTGATGGGAACCAGGCAGGTGTGGGGCACAGAACTAGACTAGGGGTCGGGAGACTGAAATTCTTGTTCCAGCTGTGCCTCCCCTGGCTAGAGACCTGGCAAGTCACTCCTTTGGGAGGTGGTGTGGGGGCGCTGGATTATGTACTCTGAGAAAGGGAATAACTAGGAAACCAGCCCACCTATCTCACAGGAGCTGAAGTCATAGGAAATGGCTGAGGCGGGCTGGCAGCAGAGGGGGACACTCACCTCTGGGCCTGTGTAGGGCTTCCCGTTGACGATCTCCGGCGAGGCATAGAGGGGGCTCCCGCAGAACGTCTGCAGGAACTTGCCTTGGTGGTAGAGGTTGGAGAGGCCAAAGTCAGCGATCTGTAGGAGTGAGTCAAACACGGTCACACCAAGGCCTGGGTTTTCTGTAGCTCTCCAGACCCCAGAGTAACCCAGGCCCCAATAAGAGGAAAGGGTGCCCATGACCCCACTCCACACTGGGCGCTGCCAACACAGCTCAGGCCCTGGAAGAAAGAGCCCTGCAGCAGTTGTGTCAATGAGGAGCGTCTAGGAAGAGATGTGTGGGGGCTCCAGGGTCCTCACTGTTCCCCAGGTCCCTCTGCTCATGCGGTACTCCACTCCACACATGCGCTGTCCTGCACGTTCTCCTGATCCAGCAAGCCTACCTCCCCAGGAAGCTTTCCACTGCCCTGAGATCTCCTTCTCCCACAGCTTCCAATGGCTTGCTGCAGCCCCCGCTCATCAATTCTGTCTCCTCGTATTACCACATCCATATGTTCCCCATGCTGACCTGCTGCTCCCACCCCTCCTGCAGCTCCTAGCACAGGGAAGACCCACAGATGGGACTCAACGGGAAGGTCTACCAGATGGAGCGGGAGAGTCAACATCTCAAGCCAGTGTCATGGCCCTCAGAAATGTGTCACTCCAGCACTGATTAACCATGAAGGGTGGGCTGCCCTTCCTAGCAAAGGGCTCGTCTATGACCATACCTGGGTGGGAAGGTGGGGTCAGCCCAGAATAGATGAGAAGCATTAGTGAGGGCAGAACAAAGGTCATGGTTGTGGTTATAGCCCAGGAGAAGGAATCTTCTCACAGGACTCCCTGAGCCATCTGACACTGAGGCCTTGAGAGGCCCCAAGCCCATCTTCTTGCACCCTAGAAAGACCCTTTCCCCAGCTATCCTCAGATAAAGGCGGAGGCCAATGCCCTGCTGCTTCTGACATCGTTACCCCTGGCAGAGGGTCATGTGTGTCCAGGGTGGGGAGGGGTTGTTTATGAAACTCTGGCTCCTTCATTTATGGTTTTATTGGTCTCTTATCAAGCTGTTACCAGTTGTAGCCCATAATGAGGCAGGTGATTGGTGCAGATGGGAGAGTTCGTGCCTATCTGGGTTGTGTGGGTTTATTGGCTCTGACCCCATTCCCCACAGCATCAAAGCAAGCCCCACCTGCTCCGGGAATTAGCTGGGAAAAGGGAATGAACTCAGTGCCAGGGTACCTCAGGGCAAGTGTCAGAGGCCACTGGAGAAGGGACTATGTCCTGGGTTCAGGAAGATTCTGAGGAGGGTCCGAGTGCAGACTCAGAGCCCTCTCGGGCACCGGCAAGGAGCCAGCCTGCTCCTCTCTTCCTCTTCCAGCTCTGAGATCTGAGTTTATCTATCATTGTGAATTTCTCAGACCTAAATTTAACTCCTTAGGCATGGGAAGTCAGCAGCTGTAGGCAGCAGGAAGCTGGCGCTGAAATTCTTGGTCTTTGAGGAAAGGAGCCAAAGGTCTATCTAATCGCAGGTCTACCTAACCGCAGCAGATTAAAGTGTGCGTGCATGTACGTGCACATGTGTGTGTGTGCGCACACCCAGGTGGGGAGAAGAACTCGGGCCGTGGTCCTCTACCTGCCAATTCCAAGGTTGTGAGCCAAATCTGACCCGAGACCTAGACGCCTGTCAGCCTTGTGATGTCAAGAGCACTGTTTGGAGAGTCAGAAGACATTGGTTCTAGCCCAGGACCAGCCTTTCGCTAGCCGTGGGACCTTGTGCAAGTAACCCCTTATCTTGAGGCCTCAGTAAAATGAGGTGGAAACCAACATATAAGTCTGAGCTTTGCTTGACTCCTTCTGGGACTCCCTAAGGACTCAGAGATACTTGGGAGGGACAGAGAGGCTGGGGGTTGTGGGAGAGCTGCTGGAAACAAAAAGTGGGGCTCACCTTGATATTTCCGTTGGCATCTAGGAGGATGTTCTCCAGTTTGAGATCCCGGTGGACAACCCCATTCTGAAAGAGAGAGGGAGGATCAGGGGAAGGTCACCAGGGAGGGAAAGGCATGAAGGCCTAGTCTGGAAAGGGAGGTAAACACAAAGGGGGCCAGATAGGGGGCACAGGTAGGCTGGGAATATTCATCTTTATTGGTACAAAGCACAACAAATAACGGGCCTTTTCACCCCGGCCAAGGGACTCAATGCCAGACACCAGCATTCTATAGGCCAAGTCCAGAATTGAGTCTTGCCTCTGCTTTGTCTCCCTGTGTGATCATGGACAAGTCATGGAATCTCTCTGGCCCAAACCAGCTTTGGAGCCCAGGGACCACCCCTTAGGACAGGGCTGGGCAGGTAGGGCCTCACCTGGTGGCAGTAGTGCACGGCAGAGACGATCTGCCGGAAGAAGTGGCGGGCGTCGCGCTCACTGAGCTGCTGCCTCTCACTGATGTAGTCATACAGGTCGCCCCGGCTGGCATACTCCATGACAATCACGATCTTGCTGCTGTTCTCAAACACTGAGGCAGAATAAGGCGGGATGTCAGGCACCTGTAGAGCACACTGCTCCCCACTGGGGGCCCCGGGTCTCTCCCTGGCGCTAGACCAGGCAGGCCCTCCCTCAGGGAATGTCTGCTAATGGGGCAGGAGGGTGGCAAGCAAGGGCAGGAGAAGGGCCTTTGAAGCTCTCAACATCTTCCAGTAGCAATGAGTTAAGGCCAAGGGAACTGGCTCACTCTCCGTCTCTTTGGAAGTACAGGCTTTCGAGGATTCTTAAAACTACCCTGCAAATTCCCAGGAAGGCAGAGACATCATTGGATGAGAATGAAAAGCCAGGTTCTCTGGTTCAGAATTTGGTGCTTTTTTGGCTCGTGACCTTGAACAAATCTCTTGTAGATTCATCAGTAAGAATACAGGTTTGGGGTTTGAATCCTGGCCCCATCACTTACTAGCTGGGTGGCCTTGGCAAGGTACTCAACCAGTGTGTCTCAGCTTTCTCATTTGAAGAGTGGGATAATCATGGCTACCCTCTTAGGGCTGGGGTGAGAATGAAACAAAAGTCAGTGAGAGCTCAGGCTGGCTGAACAAGCAGGTGTAGGGACTGATGTAAGCAAGCCCTCAATCAGTGGCACCTACTGTTACATTATCAGCACCTGCATATATAAACTTGAATAATAATGCCCAGAAAATGCCTGCCTTGAGAATCAGAAGAGGGATAAAAGGTATATGCAAGTGGTTTGTAAACTATAAAGTACCATGGAGAGCAGAGATATTTCTCTCCCTCAATATCTTTGACTTTTCTGCTCAGAGTACTGCCAGGGCTTTGTCCACAGAAGCAATCAATCAATATTTGGTAATAAATTGACTGGCTGGGCTCCTAGCAGTCTGCCTGCCCCAGCCGGCTCATCACCACGTGTAGGAGGGGCCTTCTTGGCACCGCAGGCATTGTCCTGGCTCCAGCCCCCTGGAAAGATAGGGTACGACTGGTTCACCAAACTGGCCCTTCAGCTAGGTATGTGTCAGAACACGCATGTCCCTGACATCGCATCTTTGCGTCAAACGGGTCCTAGGAGTTGGGCTTGCTCAGCCAGCCCCAGAGCTACTGCTGTCAAGCCTGTGAGGAAGGTGCTGAGGGCGGCAGCTTCTCCCAGGAGGAGTACGAGCACCCAGGCAGTCGGATACATAGTCAGGAAGACCGAGCTTTCTTTCTAGGGGAACACGAGTGAGTGGCCTAGGCGCCTGGGGGGTGCCTAGCTGAGCCCCCACCCCTGTGGTTCTCCATATCTCTGTAGCCTTTGTGCCATGAAACTGGGGGTCGAGAGCCAGCACATTCTGGACAGCAGCTGGATTAGAGGCCAGTCCCCCTCCCCCATTCTGTATTGCCTAAAGGCTGTGACAGGATGGGGATGGATCTGGGGGAGCCCTGCCAGATACACAGTAACTGTGGTGGCCCTGGGTCTGCTGAATCTAAAGGCGCAGGAGAAGCCACATCCTGAGTTTCAAAGCTCAGTTCCCAGGCTTGGCTGGAGATAGAGATGTGGGGGAAAATTTACACACACACACACAGACACACACACGGCCCAATCACCAAGCTCAGCCTGGCTTAACCAATACTGTCATCTTCCCACTCTTCCCTGGGGGAAACAAACAGAGATACAATTAGCTTTCTCAGCCACTTGTCTGGGCTCCTCGTGGGACAGGCTCAGGCCATGGGGCCACGTCAATGGCTCTGCACTTAGTCTTCCTATAAACAGAGTCCAAGAAAGAAGACGCATGCTTCCCACCAGTAACACTCAGAGGGCAAAGCCCTCCCTCCTGCCGCTATCCCTGTTTCCTATCTGATTGATATTATGTAAAGGCTGGAAGCAGACGGTGTGTTTGGGAGGTGCTCCCCCTCTTTCTCTCATCACCCTCTCTTGTTCCCTTTGTTATCTGGGTCACAGGGAACAGGGCAGTTGGAGTGGAAAGCTAGCACTGATGTCAGAACAAGAGGAGGCTTAGAGAGATGGGGAGGAGAGGTGGGAGCTGGCCCTATGGCAGGAATGTTTCAGAGTACAGTGCAGACTCTAGGAGGCCTGGCTCTTGGGACTTATGAAGAATAGCACCCACACACCTGAGACAGGTGCAGGCCAACCTATGTTTCAGACTCCCCCATATTGCTGAGGATCTCATTGGGTTGGGGAGGCAGTATGCAAGTAGGGAAAACCTAACAATGACAACAAAAAGCCTACAATCTGTTGAGTTCCTCCCATTAGCTGAGCACTTGGTGACATTTAACTTGATCTTTGCAACATATGTGACATATGTGGGGTTATTCCATTTTACAAATGAGGAACTGAGGCCCACCCAGAGACTAAACAGAATTAGTTGCTGGGTTTCAAATCCAGCTTTTGCCCACCTCCGAAGCCTGTATCTCTCTTATTTCTTGTATCATCTGTTCTGACTGCGCACACACACACACACACACACACATACTCTTCAGGTGCCCCGTCTCCGTACCTTCATGGATGGCAATGATGTGCGGGTGGTTGAGTGATGACATGATCTCAATCTCTCGTCGAATGTGCATCAGATCTTGCTCATCTTTGATTTTGTCTTTCCGGATTGACTTGATGGCCACCTGGGAACAGAGAATGCAGGCGAGTGAAGACAAAGGTCTGGCCGATGAAGGTGTCCCTAAGGACACTCTCAAAGTCCTGACTCTGGTTTGCCTGTAGCTGCTACAAAGGCTGCAGGATAGACCCAGAGAAGCCACTCCATCCTTCATCAGAGAGGCCGAAGGGCACCTTCTCTAGAGAAGGCTCTCACCTGGGTTAGGTGTAGTCCGAGTTAGCAGGAAGGAATAAGGGTCAATCACCTTATTCAGAGTTCACAGATGAACAAGGAAGGTAACAAGCTGCATTCAGAAGGCTGACGCTTTATGATTTATAAAGCAAATTTACCATACTACACCATGAGGGCAACGATTTGCTCACCATTGGATCCCTGATGCCAAGCATAGTGCCTGGCACACAGTAGGCACTGAATAACGTCTGTTGCATTAGTAAATGAATTGGTCCTCATAATAGCCCTGAGAGACACGCAGAGAAATGATCATCCTTCCCACTTACAGGTGAGGAAACTGGTATCCAGAGAGGTTAAATGGCTTGCTCAGAGTCATACTGTCACAGACATGGACGAACCTTGAAAGCATTATATTAAGTGAAATAAGCCAGACATACAAGGACAAATGTTATACAAGTCTACTTTTAAGAGGTAGCCAGAGTAGGAAAATGCATAGGACAGAAAGTAGTATAGAGGTTTCCAGGGGAGGGGAGTGGTAGAGGTGAGGGTGGCAGGATAGGGAGTTATTGTTTAATGGGTAGAGAGCTTCTAAAATCATCTGAAGTAGTGATGATGGTTGCACGACATTGTGCATGTACCTAATGTCACTGACTTGTATACTTAGAATGGTTAAAATGGTGAATTTTATGTTATATATATACATATATATATATTTTACCCCAAAAATAACTGAAAAAAACACTAGTCTTTATTTACAGTGTAGGTAAGGAACGTCCCTCTCCCAGCAACAAACAAACAAACAAACAAACAACTAGACAGTTACACAGAGTCCTCTGGGCTTTGTTATCTTGTCTGTAAAGGTGAAAATACCATATAAGGATTCAACCCTCCGGCTGGTTTGCGGCTGGTTTGCGTGGTGGGTTCAGGAAGGGTGGAGTGAGGCAAGAGGAAATGGAGAAAGAGTGCCAAGATGCCAGTTAAGCAAAGCTCTTGGGGGCTGTGGGGTCTCTGTCCCTTTCTCTGCTCCATTCCACCCAGGGACAGGTGACAGGAAGGGGAGAATAACAGTGCGGGTGGTGTGTGAGTAGTGTACACAGAAGACACTGCCTGGTGAGTCAGGGGACCTGGTTCTCCTTCAGGCTTTGTCACTGTCCCCAAGGGCAAGTCCCACCCCCTCTCAGAGGTTTTCTTTTCTGTGAAACAAACAGCCTGAACGAAGTTGTCTGAGGTGCTTTCCTGCTCTGATTCTGTGAGACAAGGATTACAAATGCCATGGGCCCTCAGGCTGCATTGCTGGCATCAGGTGCTGGGCAGGGCTGGGGTGTTACAGGGCTGGTTAGTTCCTGTCGAGTCCTGTCCAGGGACACAAATGATAAATACAAGACTTCCTCTTCATGGGATATGGGCAAGTTATGAAAAATCTGAAGGCACAGACTGAGGTGAACAGCTCCTCATTCAACTTCCCAGGAAGGTTTACCTCCCCTCAAGGTTCAGAAGGAAACAGAAAAAAAGAAACCACTGCTGGAAGGGAGGGGCCTCTAATCCCCCTTTTCACAGGGCTCTGGAGGAAGACAATGGCTTCCCGCTCACAGGACAGCAGACAAGAATGCGGAACAGCCCTAATCCCGTAAGAGGAGCTGCTCATAGTGGCCAGGGCCCGGTCACCCCGGCAACGGGCCAGGGATGGCTTGCCCTCCGCCCCGCTCCTCCCCTAACGCTGCCTCCCTGAAAGAGGGGAGGCCCAGCTCTTGGCCCTCTAGAGCAGGGCAGGGAGGACAATGGCCGCGGGAGGGACCCGAGAGACGGTCACCATGGAGCCTCCTCCAAGATGCTGGAGACGCCCACTCTGCAGCTGCAGGTGCTCTCTTCACAACCTCCTACCCCTTCTGCTCCAAACCACCCCCAAGAGCTGAGCAGGAAAAGCTCTGGCTTAGAATTGGACCGGGGTGGGGATGGGGCAGAAGGGGCTGGACTCCTCCGACTCTGAGGATTCAACCTGAAGCTCGTTTCTGCACACCTCTGTCCATGTCCCTTCTCTCTCCACGAAGGAAAGATTTATGGACTAGTTCTTTTCTCTCTAAAGTTCTTCATTTAAAAAAATCAGACAATGGGTCAAGTGTTATGAGCTCTTCAGATAAAGGGCCATACAAATTGTATTAATAGATAGTAAAAAAATCATATATAAATCACATATCTAGATAATAAACAGATCTAGTTGAGCGCTTAAGATGCACACATATGCAAAAACCAGGCACATCTTGGATGTATAATTGTGTACATACAAACATGTACAACAATGAGAGAAGTCTTCCTAGGCTTAGGAGGTAGAGCTCTAAAGAAGACAAGACCTAAAAGAAATGAGGTTCCCCCCCCAAATAAAGGGGTCTGAGTGGTGCTAGAAGGAGTCCCTGCATGGATAGAGGGTAACAGGTTAAACCCCAAGATCCATGTCTTTCCATTTCGGAAGCCTATGGTTCTAAATCAGAATTGTTAACCCTCAATGAACAATTCCATCCTCCTGCAAGCTTCTGCTCTGGCATCAGGGGGGTAGGTCAAGGATCTACCCCTCAGTTATCTACATTACGTGCTAAGAGAGCACAGCTTGGCTGTCACTTCTCAGGAAGAAAACAAGTTATGTCATCATGCCTCCACCAGTCTCCAAGCAGGTAACAGACAAGAAGAGTGATGTGTCACTGCCCAGGTAGGGTTGGGCCACTGGTCCCCAACCTATTCTAGCCCCATGGGATAGGCCCCTAGTTACCTGTTGGCTAGCCTGTCAAAGTAAATTAGACATAGCAAGTGCACAAGCCTAGACAGAGTTCCAACACAGAAAGCATTCAACAATTGTTCACTAGGGCACACAAATCATGAATAGATATTTATTGGTTAAATCATTGGGCTGATCCTTGACTGATGGGACCAGTGCCCAGATAAGATTTTCTACCTTTCTTCCCAGGCATGGGAGGAGAGTCAACCTCTTTTACAAGGACAATTTTGAGGGACCTTTGTTCTCATCGCAAGGTAGTTGAGCAACCACTCTGTAGAATAAAAATATACTGACTAGAGCCAAGGAGGAGGGTAGCAATTGCTGAATGGACCACCTAGAGATAGGAAGACCACATGCCCAGGGATAATCCTGGTTCATCCCAGTAGGATTATTAACAGTGCCCCTTCTACTCTGGTTTAGACGATATATAGCCACCCTACTCAGAGAGGGCAGGGAACCCAGGCACAACAATACATGCCAGTGTAAATGTGAACACCAGTTCTGTGGAGTATCAAGATCCCAGCTATTTCATTCTCGTTTGAAACTATGCAACTCAAGACAAGTCACTTAAATGATCTGGTTAACTGGTTTGGCTGGTTTTAATGTCCTCATCCAAAAAATGAAAGGGCATTTATTCTCCAAATATCTGCTGAACACCTACTATGTGCCTGGTGTTATGCTAGGTGTTGGGAATTTAGCCCGGTGCCAAGGATTTCAGCCCAGTGGGAAGAGTGGCAATTAAATCAACTCCAGTCTAGTGGGATGAATATAACAGTTGAAGTCCCTGCTTGCCAGGAGCACGGGGGAGAGCTTTCTTTGCCCAGAGGAGCAGAGAAAACAACCTGTGGGAGAAAACTTTGTTTTAGATCTTGAAGGATGAGTGGGGTTTGCCAAGCAAGGGGGGTAGGCTAGGGAGGGGCAACAGGACCATTCCAAGCAGAGAAAGATTTGAGCAAAGGCCAGAAAGAAAGGAACCATTCACACATTTGCACATCAGGATCTCTAAGCTCCCTTCCAAACATTAGCAAAATGCAAGTATCTTCAGAAATAGCACCTGCTATTATGCAGAAGGTGCTAGCCAAGGAGTGTTATAATGGGCTTGTTCAGAGGCCTCATGCTATATCTAAATTAACCTGCCTGAGCAAAATTCCTATTGGTGATGGCCTGTGATTTTCTTGCCCCTGCAGCACCACACATTGGAAAGGCAGCAGGAGTAATACCCTACCCCATTTTGCAAATGGAATACAATGAAGTCAGGAAGGTGCACTGACTCACACCAAGGCCTAGTCAGGATCCAAGAGGGAGGGGTGTGGCCTGGAGGAGCTGCCATCTCAGAAGACAAAAGATCCTTGCAGATGCCCTACCCTGCCTCCGGCTCCCTGCCTCCTACCCCTGGAAAAGAGAATGCCCCACACCCTGCTTTGGGCCGGGCTGTGCAGTACCACCAGCCACCCCCATCCCACTTACAGACACACAAACGGGGGAGAAATGGGAGCTGGGACTCAGTTGGCTAAACTCCGCCTCCCCTCCAGGAACTCAAGTCAGGAATGCTCTGCATTCAGGAAAGAATGGCAGAAGCGTCTTGGAAAAGGAAGATCGAAAGGTCCTGGTTCCAGGTCCCAGGAAAGAGGGTGCAAGCTGGGCATCTCTGGTCATAGCTATCACCAGGACTTGAAGCCAAAATTCTTGACTCCTCTCTGGCCTTTCACGGAGCAGCTGCCATCTGGGAGGTGGGGCAAGGAGCTGGAGGGTGACCCATTTAGATAATGGAGGAGAGGCTGGGCTGGCCTGGCCTGGGCTGGGCAGGGTGGGGATGGGCCTGCTGGTGGTGGGGGCGCTCCTCATCCCACCAAGCCTGCCAGAGAACCAGGCAGGGGGAGGAATGGGCTCCAGGAATGAGGGTAGTCTGAACCCCATGCTGTGCCCACCCCTCCTTGCACCCTCCTGCCCACTCTGCCAGGTTGCTGGGCAAGGTGCTTCCCTGCCCAGCCCTCTTGTGTGGTTTGGCCAGAGCCCAAGGACAAGTGTTGCCTGCAGCCGGAGCCTCCCTCCCTGCTGCTGAGCAGGCAGGTGCAGAAGTGGTTGGGAGGGCAGCATTATGCAGAAGAGGCCTTTGGCAGCTGATCAGGCGGGAACCCTGCTCTGGAGCAGGGGCTGAAGGAGAGACTAGGACTTTGAACAAAGCAGAAAACAAAATTGTTAGGCTCAAGGAAGCTGGGCACAACCCATTTTCTTGCTTAGGGTAGAACAGACCCAGGATGGGTGCCTCCAGGACAGGGTAGGGTCTAGTCAAAGCCAGCCAGGCTAGGACAACAACACTGTGGGTGTCAGCTACTGCGCTCATCACTTTACATATATTATCTTACTTAATCCTATGAGAACACCACAAGGTAGGAATTATTATAATCCACATTTTACAGATGAGGAAACAGAGATACAGAGAGGTCACACAGCTGGTGAGCAACAGAGCCAGGATTTGAACCTTTGCAGGTTCAAAGAACTAAGCAGTCTTCCTGACAAGGTAAAAACCAGGAATGTAGTGTAATTCGCCCGCCAAGGATACCTCAACATAGGCTGCATGTGTGTGGGTGGGAGTTGGTTCTCAGTGACACCACAAACCCTCAGCACTGCCTGGAGCTCTGGAGCTGACTGCTGGAATGACAAAGCACACTGGGACAACCCCAGGCTCAACTCAAGGTCAGCTCCCAGACCAAGACTCAGTATTGGTCATCCAGGACCTGGGGTGGTCAAATCAAGGGCCTATGTTGCAGGAATGCCATTAACCAGCCACAGAACAAGTCACGTCCCCGCTCTGGGCCTCAGTTTCCCCATCTGTCAATGAAGGAATAGGACCATCTCAGTTATTTTCAAACAATTTGAAATCCCATGCAGCTATATAAGAGACAGAAGCAACCCTGCCCCAGATCACTATCCACTTGGACCCCCCTCATGTTCCTCATGGCACCCTTTGGAGGTAAGACTTCCATGTGGATCAGCCCAAAGACCTTGATAGACTCCAGCGTTCCAGGGGCACCAGCAGGTGTTTTTCGCTTTAGGGGGAGGGGTAGTCAGGGAGCTGGGAGAGTCACAGGAGGAAATGTCATTTGGATACCAGGAATGTACTTGGAGACTAGAAGGCCCAGAGCAAATATTTGTTTTTCCTTTGATGCCCTCCTGTGTAGCCGTTAGCCCTGCCCACCTGCCCTTCCCTCCGGAAATCTCATCTGGCCCCTCATAATCTCATTTAGGCAGGTTGGGGATGGGAAATGTGCTAGAAAGGTGGAGGGAAAATTGGGATGGGAGTCAGCCAGCAGGCCTTCCTCCGATTCTAGCCCCCATCAACAATGTCAGTTCATTTTGAGAGAGGTCTTGGGTGACTCCAGGGCCCCTCTCTCCCACCGACGATCCTGAGGCACCAGATCAGTCTCTCTTCAGGGAGGACAGTGAAGAGGCAGGAATGGGGGGTGGGGTGGAGTGGGGAAGAGGACTCCCCGCCAGAACTGAGAAACCATTAGCACAGCAGGCAGCTGCTCTCCAAGGACGAGGGAGACCCAGGGCAAGTTCTCAGCAGAAGCACGGTGGTCTATGAGATTAGGGAGGTTCAGAACTGGCCCTGTTCCTACTGATCTTGGCTTCCTGCATACAACAAAAGGCAAGAGGCCAGGGGTACCTTCTGAATTCTCTCTGTTCTGATGTAACAAGAGCTGGAATCCCTGCCTACAGCCTCTGAGATTTGAAAACTGAAAGCTGGTTTATCTCATTCCAGAATCAATGAGATCTCTCTCTCTCCCTCTCTCTCTCTCCCTCTCTCTCTCTCTCTCTCTCTCTCTCTCTCTCTCTCTCACACACACACACACACACACACACACACACACACATGCACGCACGCACGCATGCGCGTGCGCGAGCTTGGACTGGCATGCAGTGACCCAGGTCTGATGAGGATCTCTAACCTTCAATCTGAGTTTCTCAGTTTCTGAGCCCCACAGTCTCCTCAACCCAATCTGACACCCAACAAGAGGCATGAGCCATGAGCAACTATTTTGTAGATAAGTCCCTGACAAAGCCTGGGCCCAGCAGTCTCAAGCCTGGAGCCTTACCAGGCCCTCACACTTTATAGAAAGAGAAAGAAAAGGGAAGCCAGGAAGTACAATGATTGCTCAATAGCTGCAACCTGGCAGCGGGCAACTGGGGGCAGTGCCAGGCATTAGCAGGAAAAACATACTCAGACCTACTGAGAGGGGCCATTAATCCATTCCCTTTCTCCAGCATCCACTCTCCTTCACCAATGAAATGACTGCGAAAGTCACCAAGCTACCGGCTGCGAAAGCCAACAATCTGAGGAGCCGACGGCAGCCATAGCCAATAGGGCAAACCATAGCCACACATACATGCACACCTCAAAACCAGCACCCAACTGTATTTAGCAAAACAATTCCTAGACGACTTGCCCTGAAGGGCTTGTTAAAATACAGATTATTTGGCCCCATTCTAGACCTTCAGAATAAAATCCTCTGAGTGTGGGTGGAACCAGAGAATAAGTATTTTAAACAAGTACCCCAGGTGATTCCTATGCACATTAAAATCATGTTTGAGGACGACTGTTAACTAACTTTTGGCAAACTTGCCATCCTTTCTGGGTTGGTCTTTCCAGATATAAATATCAGTTCTCACTGTGGGTTCTACAAATCAGGACCAATTTCAATTCACATTTGTATCGCATTCAATCCTATAGCATCTTGTGAGGGAGGTCGTGTTTTCTCCATTTTTGCAGAAAGGGAAACAGTACAGAGATCAATTGCTCTAAGTTCCACAGACTACCACTACACACACACACACACACACACACACACACA